TTTTCTAAAATCACTGATCAAAATATATAAACAGTATGAAGAACATACTTCCGAAATTCTTGAGGGTTTGGATCATCTCGTCCCTGCAATAAATGAATATTTCGATCTTATATCCGTATTTGTAGATGAATCAGAAATAGTCTTTATTTTATATGAATCTTTTACATTGCCCAACAAAGAACAAGTAAGGGCTACAGGACATTATCACAATATGCCAGTGTTTAGTAACATTGCCATTTATATGGATTCGGAACAAAAAGATTTTGAAACATTTAATGGTTATTGCTTTGCGAAGGTACTACAATACTTAAAACCATTTATTTTTTATATGATTTAATGGCTACGTTTTGGTTCGAATTTTAGGTTTTATTATTAGTTCGCATAGAATTAAAGAATGTCACGACATTTGACCTCGCACTTATTCGGTTGTATGACTTTAAATTTCCAAATACCCCTTCAAAATTTTACAAATATGAGTGTCCTTATTTACAATTAACAAATATATACAATTTGATTTCAGTGCAATCAATTAATAATATTGTTCATATTGTATCTCAATTTGATACAACAAATTCATATTATGTAAACATTTTCATATAACTACAATAATCAAGTAAATTTTTTTATTTATATATAATTATAACTTACTATGATGAGAAATTTATATCGATATAATTCTTTAATAGTATATACATTTGGACTATATGATTTGAAAAATCTTGAACTTATTAGTATGTTGTAAAGTGCGAATAATGCACTGGGTCTAGATAGTGCAACTATACACTACTAAAACAACTAAACTACTCTAATCAGAACACCACAACTAGTACAACCAAGCCCTAATGATGGTAAGGCAACGATCGAGGCGTGGAAAGACTTGGTCCGAGCAACCAGGGTTAATTGGGTTCTTAGTAATAGTGTCAGATTAGACTCTGAATTACGTCACGAATCCCTATATGCAGAATCACAGGATTTGGTCACTAATTCCAATCGTTATTATAGATTTGACTTATCGGGAGGGATTAGTAAGACAACACTTTACTAATGTTGAACTTCAACCGAGTTAATCTTTATTAAAAGCGAAATGTATTTCGCTTATATACTTATTTTTACAAATAACGATATATCTAATACAGTGTTGTCACTTGGCCTTTTGGCTGGCCAATGGCCGAATTTGCCAAAAAAATTATTTGGCCGAAATGGCCAAAGGTACCGTGTCCGGCACTTGCAGACTCTGCTTTATATATAACTGCAACTATTTTATCAAATGATTTGTATTACATATAAAAACGTATAACTATAAAATTCTGTTTATAAATTTCACAATACATGGGGCTCGTCAGTAGAAAAGGGTAAAAAGTTTTTACCACTTTTTTTTAAATTTTAAATTAAAATAGCTCAATAACTACTAAATCAAATTAAAAAAATTTTTTTTTTATTTAATTTTATAAAATTAAAAAATAAAAAAATTATCAAATTTAGTTTAGTGGTTATTGGAATATTTTAATTCAAAGTTTAAAAAATTTTTACTTAGAAACTTTTTACCCCTTTTCTACTGACGAGCCCCCACATATAAATCGATTTCTTAATATATAGTGCCTTAATAATATCATTTGTTTTGACTCGTACTATCCATAAAATTTTTACATGTCCTATAAACATCAAGATCTATTGCAATATAGGTGATCCTTTGATAAAGTATAATTATTAATCAACCAACTATAAAGTGGGGTCACTTATACTATAAAAAAACTATCATTTCTTAAGAACGAATTCTAACTTTGTTAAATTTATAGGTAAAGGTCTTCCATTGTTCACTCGTCATTGGAGTAGAAAATTGAAAAGTCTGCCAACTTAGCCAATTTTTCGATTTAAAACTTTCGAAGCAACCGGTCGTTGAATGATTATCTCTATTTCATTTAAATATAGATTATTGGCTAAATAGGTTTTTGATCTTTAATTTCATGCAAAGCTGTTCTAATTTGATGTGCAGCATATTAATAGTTAATTAATATACGAAACTCTCGTAATAAATGGTCATTTGCTATAAATGAAGCGTATCAGTAAATATTGAATTTGTTATTATAACTTAAAAATTTAATTTTAAAAATTATTATTATTATATATATATATATATATATGTATTAATTGATTAATATTATCGTAATCACTATGGGTATGCTTTCTGCCCAAACCTTGAATCCCATATCTCTGCCAAACTAATATCTAAAATTTTACTAAGATTATTTTTTCATTTACTTTTTTATATATTACAATTGTTAGAAAGTATACTAGGATATTAATAGTTGATCAAAAAGCAACTGGAGCTATTCGACTTATAAAATTATGTGATGTAGAATCACTTTTCTTAGATTTTAGATAACAAATTAAGGCCTTATATTCATCTTTTTCAACCCCAATTCCATTCTGATAGCACTTACCAAGTGCAAACATTCCATCAGAATTACCCATGTCAGCGGATTTATGATAATAAATAAAAGCTTTATGTTCATCTTTTTCGACTCCAATACCATTCTGATAGCAGTTACCAAGTGCAAACATTCCACCAGAATCTTCTATATTCGCAGATTTATGATAGTAATTAAAAGCCTTACG